TTGAATTCTTGCTTGGTAATTATGTTTGCAGTGGTCGTGTTAGTTTCCATGACTTCTCGAGGATTCTGCAACTGAAGGGTTGTGCACTTTCTGAAGAGGTAAATTTGTAACTAACATGTTGATTTCCTCTTCCAACTTATATTTTTTATATTTCTTAAAAATCATTTCAATATTTTACCTGCTGATTTTTAATAGACGGTTTACTAATAATCAGATGTAATCCCTATATAAGCTATACTTAATTCTCTAACTTTTTCCCCTGCGTTCCATGATTCACAATGCTGTTTCATGACTAATTCTTAAAATGCAGATATTTGGGTTCCTTGATGTGCAGAAGAATGGATCAATTACATTTAAGGAGGTGGTCCTCCCTGCACTCTTGCCCACCCAAAATATTTTTTTTCTACGCATGTATAATGTATTACCAGGTAAAGGGTTTAAACACTTAATGTGAATGATATACATATTTTTTATATTGGGTTACATAATAAGAAACAGCCATTTCTCTTCTCTTAACCAATCTCATCCACGTGCTATGCAATTTGAACTTAAAATCTTTCACTTTCACTTAAAAAAAATTACCACTAAATTGTTGACTAATGTGAATGATGATAAACCCAATCCAGTACTTAACTTTAAAATAGAAGATGAATGATTACAAGAAACAATATATCTACATATAACAAGATGAAGAACAAAAAAATAAATGTGAGAAACTACACAAATGACAACTATTCTACATTGCTGACAAGTTCCTCAAACTTGACCTACTTCAGCATGTGAACTTTCCCCTTTCGATTTATCTGTTCCATCAATAAGTTCGATATATAGTAGGACAAAGGCAAAAATGACAGGCCATACAGAAATATTGATCTGGATTTTGATGTGTTTAATAAGCAGAACATAATTAGTTGTTGTAAGGATTGACTGACAGATAGCACAAGTGAATCCAACAATCTCAGCAACGTTGCTGAAGGAGTTTCTATTGTTGTTCCCCCGTGTCTTGCTGCCTCTTTTCTTTCTTCCTTGGTACACAAGCTCAACGATGCATGGAACAAGGGATGCAAACGACAGCAGCATGAGTATCAGCGCATAGTGAGGTTTATGGACAGAGGAAAGCTGGTCAAATACAACTGAAGAAAGCTCGAGGACGAAGTTGGCCACGAGCAAGATCCGCACGAAAGAAACCATCTAGAACAAAGAAACAGATATTTTAGAGAGAGAAAATAATGACGCTGCTAAGTTGAATACTTAATTCCAAAAGAAAAGGGGCTCCTCTGATTGCTCCAACTCCTCTTCTTAACTTTAAGCTGTGTTTCAAAATTCAACACACCTTTGATTTCTCTGGCTTCACTTCAGACTCTGCTCCCATCGGCGGGCGCAAATGTGATGAGGATTGTACACACGTACGTCTTTCCCAATCGGTGACCTCAGAGATTGAGGGGTCACCGTTCGATCTCGATCTCTGGACTAGCCTAGTGTTCTCTGGCTTCTCTGCAGACTCTGCTTCGGCCGGCTGGGGCAACTGCAATGAGGATTGTTCACACGTATGTCTTCCCTCATAGGTGACCTCAACGATTGAGGGGTCACCGTTCGATCTCTGGACTTGCTTAATGGCTGGACATCCCTTAGAAAGATGGTTGATGCACCTATAATATATCCTGCAATTTGCAAATGTAGCATGAATTAGATGGTGTACAAGCACCAATTTCCGAGCAAATGAAACCCCTTCATAATGCCCAAATGTGTGGAATGACTGAACTTGCACACTGTTCTGCAGTCCTTGCAAGATTCAGCATTTCTCAAATTCATTTGCTATCTTCTTTTTATCTTTTGGATAAGCTGTGAGTTTGA